AAGCAGGAATACGACGAGTCTGGTCCGGGTATTGTGCACCGCAAATGCTTCTAAGCGGTTCTCTCGATGTATTTGGTTGTACCATTGTTATTTACTGACTATGCTTTTGTCCTTTAACCGGGCCCTGGATACTTTCGTTGGATATACGAGTTCTGTCCCTTGATTGTTTGGGGAATCATTTCGTTCGTAAAGAACTTTCGTTGGCCTGTCCACTGTGTTCGAACCGACCTGTCATTCTACGACGGTCGTTTCGGTTTCGCGTTTCATGCCCCCATGCAACATTATAAATGAATAAAAATAGTTATTTTAACATATTTTTGTTCTAAGTCTCCTTATACAGCGTTCGGTCGCATCGTTCACTCATTTAGGATCTCGACTGTGGGAGCGTGAAATGCCTCGCCAAGTCCTATCAATACATACCCATCGAGTTCTATCGAAGACACAAACCACAATTTCGCTTATTTGTTCTTGTGCTGAAAGCTATCGGCCAATTGCGCAAAAGCGAAACACAGGACTCAAAACGGTTGCGTTCTCGGGGGGCGCGGGGAAGGTCTGCCACAATTTTGAAGCTAAGGATAATAATCGGTTGTATAAAAGATTGTGACATTCAGAATGAAATTTTTAAGCTCACCATAGGAGTAAAATCCTCCAGTTGAATGCGTCATATGCAGATGGACGGAGTATTTGAAACAATTAATGCATGATGGAAACAAACATCAGTGTATCTGCTAACTATATGCTTTTTATACATCTAGAATGATTCATACAGGAATACTCCACTGGTATCGTTTTATCCATTGGCTTAACATTAAGGCACACCATAGGGAAACCAACCCATACGTCAATCAAAGGCAGATCAGACAATTTCGGACACAGATAGGGCTACAGTACGGAAGTACCGCATCAATACGAAATAGGGGTTCATAAACTGTTTCTACATCTTTAATGCCTCAATCTCAAATTAGACAAAGGTGATTACTACTGCTTTCCGTTTATAAAAGGTATAATTCAATAATTATTACACTTTGTAACGTGTTAATGTCGCCATATTCTTCCATGGATACTCGACCAAGATCTCAAGATATAAAATAGTGCAGTGGTTTTAACATTCAGATGGCTTCGACGAAAGTGATGAAAAGACCGTAAATGGGAGTCTTAGATACCACGGAGCACACGAGATCCATTAGAATTCTTTGGATATCTATGACAGGAAAACAACATAATCTGTGGTGCTGAAAGGGAAACCGATTGCTAGATAGGTATGACGAATTCCGATTCTGCCAAGAGAGAATAAGCACGATCCAGAGAGAACCCAAACACGACCGAAGAATTGGATTCGGTACAAATGCGGTCCCATATAGAGATACAGATGGATAAAACAGTGGTGCGAACAAGATAAACTTCAACAGTACAGCAATACGGTTTGTATAAACCACTCAAGCAATACATGGGATAGCCACGAATTCGGGTCGTTTGAGCGAGAGACCAGCTCGCGTACGTAACCAGCGGATGACGAACGTGCAGACAACGAGGGAACGATAATAGGACTGTGAGGAGGACGTGTAAACAACTCAATGAACCACAGCTCATCGCTGTTGGTCCAACTGTAGGAAGCACTGCGCAGAGAGAAGGATGAGGGACAGTCGCGAATGATTCAGACCCGGTGTCTGACAGAGAGAAATGCCAAGGTCAAACGTATAATAGGTTTGCAAAGAGTTGGGCAGCGAATGGTCAGACACGTCACCCGGGGAGGGGTAATGAAGCGGAGACTTTAAAAACTGTTGACTTCCATCAACTGGAACGAAGTATAGATAGAAGTGGAATTAGCGACACGGTGCACGTAAGAAGTGCACATGGCATATAAACGATGCCAAAAGAGGTCAAACACTGGGTGTGTAGTTATACCATTTTAGGATTGATTCGATAAACTGTCACTTTGAACTGAGAACGAAACGCTGCGGTTGGAACCGCTCGCGTTTTGTTCACCTCATTGCATCACAGATTTTTCTACCCCCGGGATTGACCACCTGTCTTCCCACGCTATTTCTGTGTCCAGATGACCCAAATCTCAGTCCTGCATCTTGTCGAGCTCGCTGATGGACGTCGATTCGGTGGGTCAAATGAAGCCCTGTACGATCAAAGTGATGTTTTCTCAAGTCAATCTTAAACTGATGTATTTAAGTGAAGCAGACCGAAGTGGCCGAGAGAATAAATGTGGCGTAAACGTAGTAAGACCAAATAGGTCTCGGATGTTGAATGTAAAGTAAAGACGATGTGTACCCTACTTCACATGGACAGCCTGAAGTTGTAACACGTGACTTCCATTTTTAAAACTTGATCGACGTTACGTAGTCGAATTTTGATGTCGTTTGTATGACTTTAAAATTTTGTTTTATATACATTGTTCAAATAGTTGTTTGGTAGATTTGAAGTTTGTATGTCGATTGCGAAAAGTTCAGTGGCCTCGGTGGGATTCGAACCCACGCATGGAAGCCGCCTACGCTATATGCATACGGTATATACATTCTAAGAAATCCCCTTTGAAACGGTTCTGCTGAGGAACAATGATTGACTCTTTACGATTCGTATTGTGCATCAAAGACAGTTCATGCTGCGTGGTACAGCCAATAAGTTCCCTTGCGTTGTCAATCATGAAATGAAATGATACCTATATCTTTTCAACCTCAAGGGAATTCGGTGTAACTTCAAGTGAATCTAATCAATCGCAGTCTACCAGCAACCCAACAAAGTGATTGGTGCTTCGGCCGTCACACGTCACCGATTGGACCGGGTCTATGAAATCACCATCCAGCAGGGGTGAACTGTTTTCCCCACAGACAAAAAAAGTATTTTTTGAGTAAGTTACCGAACGAGGAAGAATGTTTCGGTAGGGTGGGTGGGGTTTGATTGTTTGTCCCACCCCACCCCATGGCTGAGCAAGGAAGCGATTCACGTCAAAATGGATTGATAAATCGTTTTCAATGCTGAGGTGTGAATGTTGGAGTAATTGATTGCATAATTGGTTTCAGTCTAGGCTCCCAATGACGTGGTGAGTAAACCCCACTGAGGTAGACGCCCTTTCGATTCTTTTGAGCCAAATACAATTGCCTACCTATTTCTGGCATTAGAAGACACTTGACAAGATATATACCAATGTGAAGACGACACAATGAAAGAATTACCGGTGTTTCGCCTGAATAGCAACATTAAATTTGAACTCATTCACTAGCTAACAGAAATTACATTTCTCTCGGTAACCCCAGACTCGACTATTGAGTTCTATCCACAATTGCAATGGCAACAACCTGTCACCTACAGATTCACAATTTGTTACTTAGCTTCGTCGTCAATCTTATCATCCACGTTGCATCTTTCCATAGCTTGTTCCATTCTTGGTCAAGCTGGTTTGAAGAAAACGCTCTTTCCTTTTTTCCAATCCAATTGATTTGGATTTTGCTTCATCAGGAATAAGACGGTTGAATTCTTCTCATGTTTCCCGAAATCTCAAACCCAAAGCGTTCAGCAGGACCGTATGTTTTGTCATCGTCCGTTAAGTCCACCCTGCTATGACTGGCAATTGTTGCCGGTTTTCACGAGCAGCGAAAGTGGCCGATTTTCCCCACCAAAAACAAACGAAAAATAAGGGTGTGTGAACAAGGCTTGTTAGTTGTGATCATCCATTGCCGTTTGAAGCACAGTTTGGTCGGGTGAAAGTGCAACTAAACCGCAGCTGAAAGTTTCACTTAGCCGTGTGTGTTTCGTTCTGGTGAACCACCTGGTAGTTTTCAAACAGCGCCTCTAAAAGAAGTGGCTCGTGAGTCTTCTCGCAAAATCACGTGACGGGCATAAACATGGGCTCAGGCTGTCTGGTTCATCTCGTTGGCACTCACAGGTCCATGTACAGTTCAAAACTCCTGGTGATGTCTGGATGACCACTATGCGGTGCAGATTTCCCAAC